GGGGGGGGGGGGCGTGGCCGCATCCTCCCCACGGGGAGCCCAGCGCCTGGCCCTCAGTCAGCCTTTGGTGGGGATCCTGGCTCTTAGGGGGGCGTCGGTCCAATCCCGCCCGCCGCCCGATGGTCAGTAACTTGTCTAGGTGACAGTATTGGCTGTGATGTAGGTTCCGTCGCATCTGGTGTTTTATTTGAGCCCTTAATTGTCACAGCAGCCCTCCACGCAGGTACGGTGGCCCCATCTCACAGCTGCGGAAACTGAAGCACAATGTAACCGAGAGGTTACACTCAACCTAATTTGACTTAGCCGAGAGGTCGAGTGGTTTCTCAAGGTCACAGAGACCAAACGTTGTAGAGTCAGGATTTGAACCCATCTCTCTGACCACAGCGACCCCTCTTTTCACCACAGGACTAAGAGTGAGGCCAGGGCTCGCCCACGGCCTCGGTGCTGTGACCAGGCGCTGCTTTCTTTTTCTCAAATATTTATTTATTTCTGGGAGAGTGCAAGCGGGGGAGGGAAGGGTGGGGGGTGGGGGGGCTCTGTGCTGACAGGCTGGACAGCAGCGAGCCCGATGCAGGGCTCGAACTCTCGAGCTGCCAAATGGTGACCTGAGCCGAAGTGGACGCTCAACTGACTGAGCCACCCAGGGGCCCCTGCTTCCCTTTTCTTGAAGCCTCTCGGCACCCGCCCAGCCACCTGGGGCCTGGCTCATCACAAGGGTATTTGGGTGCTGACCAAAGCAGGGCTCCCTTTGACTTCAGACAGCGTTCAAGGGAGGACTGGGACTCATTAACTCTACCGAAAACCCTGTGTGTGCCAGGCATGGAACAGGACGGGTGTAAGCCTGCCCCCCTGGAGTGACATCCCGGGGAAGGGTGTCCCCTCACCCAGAGCAGGGGTTCTCAGCCTCAGCACTGGGGATGTTTGGGGCCACGTCACTCTTAGCAGTGGGGGTGGAGGCGAGCGTCCTGTGTTTTGTGGTTTGATTAGCAGCCTCCGGTCTGCGTGCTGGGGGCCCGTCTCCCAGCCGTGATGACCAAAAATGGCTTGTGGGGGCACAATTGACCCTGGTTGAGACCCGCTGGGTGACGGGATGCAGTTGGCCCCGAAGAGACTGTATTCCATAATCATTTGGGCTCCTGAGGTCCTGGGACATTGCACCATTTACATTTGTGAACTGAGGGAGAGGGGAGGTCACTCACAGACGCTGGGGTCACCGTGGTTTGTACAGTCTGACCCATCAGGGATTTATTCGAGTGTCTCGTGTGGGCCTGAGGATCTTACTCCACTGCCCCCCCCAAATTAAGAATGCAGAGTTTCTCTGCCTCGGCACACTCAGTGCCAGGAGCACCCCCAGTTGTGACAACCACGGCTGTCCCCAGTCATTCTCTGGGGAGGGGGGGCAGAGTCCTCCCCTTTGAGAGCCACTACCCCAGACTTAGCTCTGTATGGAAGGACAGGATGCTGTGTGGGGGTGACAGAGCGGTGACTTTGGATTGGGGGTCCGGAAAGACCTCTGCAGAGGTGAGACCGGGGCGTGAAGGAGAAGAGGGGCGAGTCCCACAGAAGGCAGGGAAGGGCCCCTGGGCCGTGGGACCGGCAAGCGCAAAGGCCCTGGGGTGGGAAGGAGTCGGTGTGTGTAGGGGAGAGTAAGGCCAGCGTGGTTGGAGATCACGGTCAGGGGCGAGAAGGGGAGGTCAGGAAGGCCATCAGAGTGTGGCCACAGTGGGGACCCTGGGACTGTTGGGTTTCTGGTGAGCACCGGGGGTGGTGTCCTTGGCGTCATTTAAGACTGCCGTCTTCTCGGGGACTTCTCGCCTTGGGAGGACTGCACGACAAAAAGGATGCTGGTTTCTGGCAAATGCCAGGCACCCTCCTGAATTTCCGGGCAGAGCCTCTTCAGAACGCCCTTGGCATTGGGTGTCCCCGGAGTAACGGAGGGCTGCCTAGAGCGGTGGGCAGGCGAGGAGGGCCAAGAGCGGGCACGCCCAGACCGCTGGGGGTTGCAGCCCGGGGGTCTCTCTGCCCGCAGGCTCCCCCACTCTCCTGAGGTCAGCCGAGTGGTTAATGCGGAAGGTTAAGAAGCTCCGCCTGGATCACGACCACACAGAAGGTTGGAGAAGGTAAGGGGTGTGGCCGCGGGAGCCCTGACCTGTGGGGGTGTCGTTGAGGTTCCCAAGTTTCCGATGATGTCCTAGGTCTGGGAAGACCCCTGCCTCCCCCTGCCACCCCCTACCTTTCTGCGAAGCCCCAGGACTCTGTTCTGGCTGTTCCGCGTGAGGTGGCTATGTAGGTGAGAGCAGGTTTCTCAGCCTCGGGACTGCTCACGTGGGGCCAAGCCGTTCTCTTTGGGGGCGTCCTGGGCGCCGTGGGGGGTGGAGCAGGCCCCTGGCCCCCAGCCCCTCGGTGCTAGGAGCACCCCTACGTGACAACCACAGATGTCCCCAGACATCACCTGGTGTCCCCTGGGGCAGGATCCGGCCCGGCTGAGAACCGTTGGTCCAGAGGTTAGAATGTGGGTTCGGGGTCCGTCAGACTCGGGTGATATCTGATATCGGGCGGGTCATTTGATCCCTCTGAGCCTGCTTTGCAGCCTCCCAGATGGGGCTGGCCCCAGAACTCACCTGTCAGGGTCACGGTGAGGAGTAATCATAATTGTCCACGTGAGGCCCCGGGGCACTTGGTGAGTCTCACGTCTGGGGCCGTGCACGAGGCGGAGGCCACAGGAAGCCCTCCGGCGAGTGGGCTTCTAGCCCCCGTGGCTTCGTTTGCTTTTAGCCGGTGGGAGCGACCGGGCGGCCAGGAAGGGAACTAAAGAGCTCCGGGAAGACAGGGGTGACGTTGAGCAGTCTGCTTCGCTCCCCGGACGCGGGCTCCGCTGTCCGGTGGGGAAATGCATCAGCAGGTCGGCTGGTGACGGAGACCCGAGTGCCCCTTCTCACGTGTGTTGGGTCCCCGGCGGCCACGGCGTGGGCTGCAAACTGAGTCTGCGCCGGCCGGTCGTGACAGTGGGAGGCCCGCACGGTGCCGGAGGCAGGCCTTGGAGGGCAGAGCACGGCCCGCTGCTTCCCGGGAGCCCCCGCCCCACGGGGCCACGGCGAGTGTCCTGAGGGCCGCTCAGGCATTTCCTCCCCGGAGCACGGCGGGCCCCCGCCCCTCACCTCCCCGGCGCCTGCCTCCCTGCCCGCCTTCCCTCTCCGCGGTTGGCCGAATGCTCCCAGACCTGCGGCCGGCACCGAGAATCCGCAGTTCCTTCTTCCTTCTGCCCGCTGCCCTGGTCACGGGCCCCGCTTGGGTCTCTGGCGGATGCCCCACGGGGCGGTGGTCCTGGCTCTCCGAGCACCAGTTCACAGGCCGCAGACCTCCCGTGGGGCCTTGACGGTGATGGCACCGGAGGGCCCGAGCCGCCTGCCGGCGGCCTCGTGGTCCGCGAGGCGTCCTGCTGACGGGCAGAAGGAAAGCGTAGGTGGACCCGGCCCAAGTGGCTTGGAATCCGCTTCCGTTTCCCCAGCTGTGTAAACCCTTGACTGGAGGAGCTCAGGCTGGCCTAGGATGGGAAGCGGGGCACTTGGTTCACCTGTTCCTCCCCTTCCCCCGCCTCCTCTGCAGTCTCTCTGCACTTCTGGGGAAGAGAGGTGAGTGGAGGACCAAGTCATAGCACCAAGCCTTGGCCTGTCTGGGAGCTCAGACCGCCTGGCCACATCTAGAAGATTCCTAGAAGTTTCTCCCGATGTTTCATTTCATTTCTCATCTCCTGGATCACATTTTTGCTTCTTGGGCTCTCTGCAGTGATCGGAGGCAAGATCATTTTTATTGTTCCTTGCTATGGAAATAAGCCACATGATTCTGTGAGCGTTTCTGCCCGGCTCTCAGCTTATGGGGTCCCCTTTGGGAACCCTGGAGGTTGTGATCGGTTTTGCTGCCGTGAGCAAGGCCTGAACGGTGGCCACAGTTTCGGGGGGGGTGGGGGCTGGGCCGGTCGGAGGAGTCCCCTGTCCTGGTTTTCTGGGCTGGTTGTCAGCAGCGCTCGGGGCCATGTGGGTTCTGGAGCGCTCCGCCCGTCCTGGCCCCAGCCCCTGCCTGACACTGCCCGTGCCCAGCGCCGCCCGTGGAGGTAAACCACAGCTCTGGGGGGCGGGCCAGGACATGCTGCGCGTGAGCCTCACTGGGTCTCCCGTCTTTTCTGGCTTGGGTTCGTTTGCCCCGAGGGTCCCAAAAGCCCTGATGGCCTGTGATCCGTGTCTTCGAAGCCATCGTAGGAAGTTGTGAACCGGGGGCACTCTTTGTGGCTGGGGAGCAGGAGCCGCCTGCCCCCCGAGCCCCCCGAGCCCCCCGAGCCCTGGCTGGGTCCAGTGGGATGGAGTCAGGGAGGCCTTTCTGTCCCTCGTCTGATACAGGGTCGGGGTGGAAAGGGAACTCTGAAAATCGGCCCACGGAGGCCATGCTCAGAAGCGTCTCCTCTTGCCCCTCGAAGCAGGAGACAGGGGTCCTTTCTCCCGTATGGGGACTCGGGGGGGTGTCTTGCTGTGAAGGGACAGGCTCTTCTGGGAATTGGAGGGCACCGTGTGAAGGTGGGCACAGCTCTGCCTGGTGCTTCTCTGAAGCCCTCGGCCCGGGCTGTCCCTGTCCCTGTCCCTGTCCCTGTGTAGCAGTAACAACTCCCACTTTTGACCAGTGAAGTCCGGGCTCCTCCTGTAAAGCAAAGCCACTAATCCCAGAGCAAAGCCGCTAATCCCAGAGCACAAGGAGGCCCAGCATTCAGCGAGACCTTAGGCCGTCCGATGCCCACGGAGGAGAGGGAGGCCGCCCCGCTCACCTTGGCGGCCTCACTGGAGAGCCCGGCTCTTCCGGAACCGGGTCACTGTGGCTATGTTTAGATTTCCCTAAAGCAAATATTTGCCTGGCTAGCCCAGTCCGCTCAAGAAATGTGCCCAACAGCCAGGGGAGAGAAGGGAGGGACGGGGCCTTGGCCACAGCTGCTCAGGGAGCGGGGGAGGGGTGGGGCGGGCTGTCCCGAGGGGCGTCCGTTCTCTCTGCTGGGGTTCTCACACCGTCTGTGCACAGCTGCTTGTCTCTCTCAGCCTGTCCCGTGAGGCACGAGTTTCCCCTGCTGGACCCCAGGCTGGATGGCATGGGGGACGAGCTGTGCCGATTAATTCTTTACGCTCAGTTCTTTGCGTGTGAGCGAGCGTGTCTCCCCGAGGGCTTAAGGCAAGATAATCATTCCACACGGCCCGCTGTGGAATGCGTCCTGGGAGCCAGGGGCCTCCTGAGGTTCTGGGGCCACTGCCATGAACGGGACAGGTGATCAACAGACAGCCCTTGTGTCAGTGCTCTGAGGGCAGGGGACATTAGTCGCTGACGCGCCTAATGGAGAGACCAGCTTCGGTACAGATGGTCATGGAAGGTTTCTGAGGACCCGACAGATACTTATGCTGAGATCTGATTGGACGTTAGTCAAGTGGAGAGAGGGGAAAAGTGTTTCAGGCAGAAGGAAGCACGTGCAAAGGTGGGAAGGAGTCTGGCCTGTTTGAAGGGCCAACGGAAGGCCAGTTTGGCTGGGCAACTGATAAAAGGGGGATGAGGTTCGAGGGGCTGGCGGGGGTCAGAGGACAGAGAGCCTTGAAGGCCGTGACAAGGACTGGTTTTTACCCCCAGGACTGTGGAAAAGCAAGGAAGACGTTTAAGCGATGGGGTCAGATCTGCGGTGGATGTGTTGGGTCCGTTAGCGAGATGTTGGGGTCATTCGGCACACAGGTGGCAGCGGCTCGGATCTCGGAAGCATTTGTGGTGTTCGAAAGAAATAGAACGAC